CTCCAATAGCTAAAGTAATGTTGAAAGACAAAAACAAAGTGGGAGGACTCACATTTCCTGATTTTAAAACGTATTATACAGCTACAGTAATCATAACAGCCTGGTACTGGCATAACAATAGATACATAAACCAATGGAATAGAATTGAGAATCCAGAAATAAAACCACCCATCTACGGTAAACTGATTTTTGACAAAGGTGCTAAGTCCATTCAGTGGAGGAAAGAAGAATCGCTTCAATAAATGGTGTTGGGAAAATTGTATTTCTACATGCAGAAAAACGAAGCAGGATCCATGCCTTAGCATACACAAAGACAAATTCAAAATGGATTAAGGACCCAAATGTGAAAACTAAACCTATAAAATTCTTTTTTTTTTTTATTGTCGTAGTTTAAGTGAAAGTTTACATTTCAAGTTAGTCTCTTACACAAAAATTTACACATACATTGTTATGTGACCCTAATTGCTCTCCATATACTGTGATAGCACACTCCTCCTTTCCACACCTGACTTCCCATGTCCATTGAACCAGCTCCTAACCCTGTCTGCCTTCTTATCTCACCTCCGGACAGGAGCTGCCTGTTTAGTCTCACGTATCTACTTGAGCTAAGCAGCACACTCTTCACGAGTATCATTTTATGTCCCAGTCCAATCTTTGTCTGAAGAGTTGGCCTCAGAAATTGTTTTAGTTCTGGGCTGATAGAGAATCCGGGGGCCATGCTTTCCAGGGTTCCTCCAGTCTCAGTCAGACCATTAAGTCTGGTCTTTTTACTAGAATTTGAGTTCTGCACCCCACCTTTCTCCTGCTCCATCAGGGACTCTCTGTTGTGTTCCCTGTCAGGGTGGTCATTGGTGGTAGCCCGGCACTTCTGAAACCCATAAAATTCTTAGAAGAAAATGCAGAAGCAACACTGTCAGGCCTAGTTTTTAACTATGGATTATCTGATATCATAACAAATGCACAAACAGCAAAAGACAAAATAGATAAATGGGATCTCATGAAAATGAAAAACTTCTGTTCATGACAAGTCTACCAAAAAAAGTGAAAAGACAATCTAACAACTGGGAGAATATCTTCAAAAACTATAGATCAGACAAGAATCTAGTAACCAAAATATATATAACTTCAACAACTTAACAAAAAGACAAATAGTCCAATCAAAAAATGGGCAAAAGTCTTGAATAGACATTTCATCAAAGAGGACATTCAAATGGGCAACAAACACATGAAAAGATGCTCAGCATCATTAGCCATTAGACAGATGCAAATTAAAAGCACAGTGAGATATCATTTCACTCCCACTAAGAAGGCTAAGGAAACCGTCGTGGCGTAATGGTTAAGAGCTACGGCTGCTAACCAAAAGGTCAGCAGTTCGAATCCACCATGCGCTCCTTGGAAACTCTGTGGGGTAGTTCAGCTCTGTCCTACAGGGTCGCTATGAGTCCGAATTGACTTGATGGCAACAGGTAAGAAGGCTAAGATAAACAGAACAGAACAGAAAATAGCAAATGTTGGCAAGGATGTGGGGAAACTGGAACCCTCATCCATTGCTGGTGTGAATGCAAAATGGTACAGCCACTGTGGAAAATAGCGTGGTGGCTACTCCAAAAACTAAAAATAGAACTACCATATGACCCAGCAATTCCACTCCTAGATATATACTCAAAAGACTTGAAAGCAGAGACTCAAACAGATCCTTGTACACCAGTGTTCACTGCAATACTATTCACAATAGCCAAAATGCGGAAACAAGGTAAATGCCCATGAACAGATGAATGGATTAACAAAATGTGAAACATACCTACAATGGAATACTACTCAATCAGTAAGAGAAATGAAGTCTTGATACATGCTACAATATAGAGCTCGAAGACACTGTAGAGTGAAATAAGTCAATCACAAAAAAACAAATATCATACATATGACCTCATTTATACAAAAAGAAAAGAATAGGCAAATGTGTAGAGACAAAAGTTTATAAGTGGTTACCAGGGGTGGGAGGGAGGAGGAAAGGCGGGTTTATTGCTTATGGAGTATTGAGTTTTGGACTACGGTGATGGAAAAATCACATTACGGGTAGGGTTGCACAGCCGATTATTGTAATTGCTGTCAGTAAGTTCTATACTTGTTAAAAAGTTGAACTGGTAAAAGTTGTGTGATAGACATATTTATGACCAAAAAAAAAAAAACCAAACAAACAAAAAGGAGTTGCTGAGGCTGCTTGTGCACAAACACCTCATGGGATCTAGTTCCTTGGTTTGGAGGTTTAGGGTCATGGCTTCATGGAACATCCCAGTTCATTGGCCTAATAACACGTTTAGTGCTTCTGTTCAATCTCCTAGTTCATTGTGTAGTGCCTGGTGTCTTAAAAGTCTGCAAGCAGCCATTCAAGGCACAACTAGTCTATTCACCTAGAGCAACAGAGGAAGGAGAGTGAGGAATAGGATAAGGAATGTGTGGCTAATCGCCTCCATGAACAACTGCCTCCTTTGCCACGAGACCAGAACAGAATGGTGCCCAGCTACCATTACTGAACATTTTGATCAAAGATTCTATAGAAGAATTCTGATCAAAAGGAGGAAAATGCAGAACAGAATTTCAAATTCTCATGGACTGCAGACTTTCTGGATCCATCGATGCTGTACGAACCTCCAAAACTACAGTAGCAACCCCCCCATCCATGATTTCACTTTCTGTGGTTTCAGTTACCCATGGTCAGCCAAGCTCTGAAAATGTTAAATGATTAAGTAGCGTGATGGAATCTTGTGTCTTCCCGCTTGAGGACAACAGTCACATAACTTTTATTTCAGTATACTAATTATTCTATTATTATTGTTACTCTCTTACTGTGCCTAATTTATAAACATTATCATAGGTATGTATGTGTAAGTCAAAACATAGTATAGTGTTCAGTACTATCTGTGGTTTCAGGCATCCACGGGGGTCTTGGAACATATCCCCTGTGGATTAGGGGGAACTACTCTATTGCCCTAAGATAGTCTTTAAACTTTAAATGAAAAGTAACCCCTGAAGTCTCTTTAAAAGCAAACAACAGTTTAGGTTAACTAGTAAAGAATGTCTGCCTTAGGCATTGTGCTCTTTTAGGATCTTTCTATCTGGGATCAAATGGACAACAGCAACTGGAAAGATTATATAGGATCCTTAGGGAGCAGTGAGTTTGTTAATGGGGGAGGAACAACTCAGAAAAGGAGGGTGAGAGTGGTTGCAGAACTAGAAAAATGTGATCAATGTCAATGAAACACACATGTAGAAACCTGAATTAGTGGATGTGTTTGCTGTGTATATTGTCAACAACCAAACAATAAAAAAACCCAGGAGTGACCCAGAATCCCCACCTTTTACATCCTCAACCACATATATAAATCATAGTAGGAGTCTAGCTTGGTCACTTCTAATTGTCTCCATTTTCATTGCAACCTGCCCAATCCAGGTCACCAGAGCTTGGACTACTGCACAATCTGTGCAGCCCTCCTGCTTCCCTCTTAGCCCCATACAATCACCTCTCCCCTGTACATAAACTGGACCACAGCAGTCCCTTGCTTAAAATTCTTCAGTGGCTTCCCACTGCACTTAGACAATCCAAACCCCTGAAGTCTCCCTGTGGGATCTGGCCCTTGCTTTTCTCTGTGATCTTACCTGGCCACTCTGTTCCAGCCACACTTTTTTGGGCTCTTGCACATGCTGCTGTTTCTTCTTCCATGAAGGCCTTTGCCGTCATCTCTCCCACGGTGATCTCTTCATTCTTTAGGTCTTGGGTTAAGGAATGCTTCTCCAGACCCTTGGCTACTTCATACGATACCAAGCTTACCTGTTTTTGTCTTCCCTCTCCCCCCCACCCCAAACTGGAATATAAGCTCTGTGATGTCACGGTCCAGGGCTGCCTCACGCAATGTGGTGTCCCCAGTGCCTTTTTAGGCATACAGTAAGTATGGGTTGAGAGCATGGCCAAAGAACTAAAGGTAACCATCGCACCTGATCAGTTAGTAGTGTCTTCCACGGGGAGATGAAGCCTTGCTTCTACTTCTACTTCTACTTCTTTGCAAGAGGACTCTTTCAAGGTTTGAGGCATCAAATGGCCACGAGAAGAGACCCTTCTGCCCTTCCCATGCCCCACTCCTTAGGTGACTGCATTTAGACTAGTAAAACTGAAGGCTAGGATTACGTTTCTTGCCTTTTGTGGCCTGGATATGGCAATGAGGAGTTGGCATCCACACCAGCAGAGAGCAGATCCAAGACACTGCAATGATTCAAAGACGTTTTCTTCCTTACGGGTCTGCTCTTTAGAGATCAAGACAGCAGAGGAGACGACTGCACCAAGCAACAGCTTAGGGAGCATGGGCAAGCTGGTTAACATCGCCCAGTCCTGTCCACACTGACAGCCTCACAAACAGGAAATGTTTTAGAATAGTATTTGTATTTTTTTCCCAGGTTATGGATGCTCTGAGGATTTTGCTAAAACAACGCAACCCAATAGCTTGCTATTTTGAGGTGTTCATAGAGCACAGGTTAGAAATCTGTTTCAGAAGCTGTGAGGGGGTGTCTGGGCAGTTTTTATTCCTGGCAACCTCCTTAAATTAAATATGATTTAAACATGACAGCAATAATCCCTATTAGTCAGAATAAGCTACAAAGAGCTTCCTCAAAAAAAGTCAGAAGACTGAAGTTAACAAACAAAAACAGGCTTTAAACAATGGAACGAGGCACAAAGAATAGTTTAAAATCTGACCGTGGTAAACATCTAAAAAGGGACAGACATTCTCCTTCTGTACTGAACTGCAGGGAAGAGAGAATCTCTAGTTGGAATGAGTTACAAGCTTATATCTAAAAATTTCATTCGAAAAGAAAGAATCGAGTCGATTATATCACCACTGCAGTAATTCTGAAAGGCAAACGAGACTGTCAGTGATTTCCAAGCAACATGACTTCACGAGCACCAATGAGAGCAGGAGACTGGCGCAGAGAAACTCGAGAAGGCAGCCTTTATAGATGTAAAATATTTTTATTTGTAAATGGTGATCTTCTAAATCTGTGTCCACAAATTCCAAAACCCATAACACTCTGTATACTTCAAAAAATTCAATTTTTGCCAACATTAGATACTATTTTACAGAACAGAAAACAAAACAAAACAAAAACCTGGTAGGACAAATACTGGTAGGATGTCAGAATATTGTACGAGAGAAGAAAAATATTCAAGAAACAAATTTCATACAGCTATTTATCAAGAGAAAAATATATACACGATTTATTCTGTAAGATAAAAATACATCATGCCATATACAAGTTGAGAACTGTATCACTGATATACCCACAGCTTACAGTCCACTTTATTGTGCACACAAAAAACTTCATTTTACATTTAGCCTGTGAAGTGTCAGTACCAGAATTTTAAGTACAAAATAAAAAGCTAACCTGTTTCAAAATGCTGATTAAGTTTCTATAAGCAAACACAAAATGGTGTTTTTTTTGTTTGTATTTTTTTTTTGTTTTTATTAAAGAAATGTAAACAAACAGTTCATACAAACACATTTTAAAATTACATCTTTCAAAACCCTATTGCCGGAGTCCTGCAGCTGCAAGCATAATCACATCTCTCCTTTTTTTCTTTTTTTCCATTTTTTTGTGTTAAATAGAAGGCTAAGGAGTTAGACTTAGGTTCCTGCTACATTATCCTATTATGTTTACATGATTCTTTGCAGCCTGAAACAAAGTTCTAATCAAAACTACTTTGCTGAAGAAAAAATTCAGCCTCCATTTGGGTGTATTTTTAAGCAGTTATTCACAGTTATCACAAATTGTAAGCACAAAAAACCTGACTGAAGAAGTAGGGATGCAACAATATAATATGAAAAAATTAGTTTAAATTACCAAAACAGCTATAAAAGTTGTAGTCATAGTATACACTCCGTTCTATCAGAAGGTGTATAAAACAATTAAGTACTAATAGACCACAGTTTCCAAAAAATCCCAAACACTGTAGGTTGAAATTTTGGTTATTACTTAATTATAATGGCAGATTTAATAACATAAAATTATATTGTAACATCCCTAGGAACATTTTATAAGCACCCGAGCTGCTGCAGAGCCTGGTAGCATTTGGTCAATAACTATTTTTATACTGTATTTTCTTCTCAAAATATTTACATATTTGTACAAAGTAACAGAGTTTGTTAGTTCTGCAGGTCACAGCAGCAGCTTGGCTTTCTTCTAACTTTTATTTAAAAATAGCTTCATTCACTTATTCAATAATAAATACAAAAAGTTTCTCTTATTTTACAGAAATCAAAAACTACAATAAACTGACTCATGGAATCAAGTATTTAAATGTATTTTAGTGCAAGTTATTATCCCTTAGCTCTATCCCTAAGGAAGTCATTTCAGTACATTCCTTGTTCAGTGGTGTCTACTTTATTTAAAAATTTTTAAATTAGAGGGCCTGCCCCTTTTCAAATAAGGCCGTGGCCAGCACTTTGGACATCTCCCTTTCGCTGGTGATTTCAGTCTTACATTCATAGGAGGCCCCTGCCGTGGGGCAGGGCAGCCATCGGCTCTTTGCCCCAGTAAAAGTTTCTCCTTAGTGAGATTAAAAAAAAAAAACGCTAAACAAAACCCACCCGCCAAAAAAAAAGCAAAAGAAAAGAAAGAAAATCAAGAGAAAAGGGAAAAAGAAAAAAAAAAAAAGCAAAAGTGCTTGACCATTCTGCGGTTCTGTTAGCCTCAGAACTTCAGGAAGTCGCTTTTGTCAGCTTTCTCCTGGGGCCGCTTTAACCGAAAGTACTAAGGAAATCAGAATTCCCAGAAGCTATTTTTCAAAAAGTCATAAAACAGAAAACAAAAGTATCTTTCTGTCTGTAAAATTCAAAGGCGTGTTGAATCACTTCTTCCTAGGGACAAGTCGCCGCGCTCGGGCGAGGGATGCTCTCAGTTCATCCACTTCCGGCAGTTCACAGCTCCACAGTGACACGCGATCTTGTGCTGGTCATCTTCAAAGTCAAACTTGTAGTCATAGCAAAGCTGCCACAGCAAACAGTCAGTGTGAGGAAGGCGGGTGAGGACAGAGGAGGGAGGGGTCTCCTGCCTACATCTCCCCAGTTCAGAACCAGCAAACAAAACGGCATAAGTCAAAGGGAGACCTAGTTCGTTCAGGTGCCATGGGGCCCCAGGTGGTACCCTCAAAACTAAGAAACTAACATAGCTACTCTTCACCTAGGGATCCCACAGGGGCTGAGGAGACAAGAGAGGCAATGTGCTTAAGCCAAACCAGATCTGTGCTGTTCTCCAGCTTCTCCCAGCTCTGTCCAGGCTAGGCGGGCCACCCTCCTGCCCTCCCCCGCCTATGGTTTCCTGAGTGGGGTATGCAAGCTGGGGAGAGATAACTACCTTTGGAAACTAACAATTGACTTCCTCCTTAAAAGCATATTTAAAGGTTGTCTATTTATTTAAGGGTTACCAAATTATTATTAACCTCTCAGACCAGCCCAGTTCCCAAGGTAGGTGGCAGTCTACATGATTCCTATTGCACATGCCTCACCCCTCGGACCCCTGGCCCACTTTCCCTGCACCCCCACCCCGGGAAATTGTACACTGCAAAATGAGGGGAGGCCTGATCATCTCTCTGTCTTTTCTAATTCCAATGTTCCAGGACAGCATTTGGAAACACTTCCTTTCTAGAGAAAGGAAATAAACCAGTATTTATTAAATAGCTACTTGTAGTAATGATAATATTGACTTTGATTAGGTATTTGCTGGGTTCTTAGAGGAGCTCTGTTAGGAAATAATTTTTCCCACTTTACAGAAAGTCAAATGAGGATGAGGGCTCAAAGACTGTCTCAAGGACACTGGGGTAGAGCAGGAGCAGAGGCGAGTGGGCTCGGCCAGCTGGGCCCATGGCAGCCAGGCCACCACTGCTCGGGGATCTCAGACTTTCCTCCCCCATCTTCATGTGACTCGTAGATTTGCAATGGGCTCCATGTCTAGTCAGATCCATACGCTTGTTTAAAAAATGAGATTCCAAAAAGATGACCCAAAAAATACAGGCATAATCTCACAGCTACAGTCAAGAAGGGTTGGGGGCTCCCAAAAAAGAAAGACGATCAGGCTCCTCACTTTCCAAGAACAAGGGCGGCTGTGGAGTGCAGGACGTTCCCTACAGAAACCAACACTGCTGCTGTGTGTGCATCATCATAAACTCCAATTCCAGATGAGGGCACTTGGATCAAGATATGCTGATCACATTTGTGGAAGACAAAGCTGAGAAATGTGATGGGACAACCAAGACCAACAATAATCTTAACAGCTTCAGCTTGGCTGAGGTCATCTTGTGAAACTGAAGGGACAAACCTCAAGTCCAGCATTCAGCATTTAAAAAAACCCAAAATACCCAAACTCCTTGAAAATCAAAGTGAAAAATGGATCAGACTGTATTGATCATAGTGTGAATATGAGCAAGCTGCAACAATCTGGCAGCCGCAAATTTACTGCCCGACAGCCTTAGTGTGATCTCACATGGTCTCAGTGTTCCTGGAGACCACAGTGACAATTCCATTATATTCTTCAACCATCAGTTCGATTAGAAGCATAATAATTAGAGAGAAGGATACTGCCAAATTGTGTCCAGGTTAAGGAAGTATGAAAGATTGTAAGACATATGAAAACGATGTCATCTAATGAGTGATATGGGGGTGTTAATTTGTGGAACAGAAAAATAAGGAAATGGGGAGAGTGGAGATTAAGTACTTTCAAAGCTGTCGTATGGAAGAGGTGGTAACTTGAATGCCTCAGATGAAATATGACAGAGTGGCAAAATATGACCTAAGATTAGCAAGCTTCTAGCAATAAGGAAGAGCGAAAGAGCCGATGAGTGAACTACCACATACCAGGGTATGAACCTGGCAGACACTATCCCTCTCTTACCTCTTCTCCTTTCTGGATTCTCCGGTTGGAGCTGATGATAATTTTATGTCCTCTTTCAAAAGTCACCACTTCAGCCACACAATTGGGTGCGCATGAATGGTTGATATATCTGCAAACCATCATGTTGCAAACTGTTATAAAACAACTGGAAAAAGCTTTAAAAGCCTTCAATTAATAGGAAAAACTTTTTCCTAATTACATTCCTATTTGCCCATTAATGGAATAAATGCAAATACACAATTTCAAGTAAAAATTCTTTTCAAAACAACTTATTTGCCTGGAATTTTAATCACTGAAAGGCTACAGTGGGCATTATTCCCCTGCTTTGATCTCTCTCTATTACCACAGAGCCCGCCAAGCAAAGCCTCGGTTGATGAGGTTCCTTTCTGCTCTCACCTTGCAGGCCCTCCTGTAAGTGTGGCGTCGATAACATGGTCATTATCCATGCGGAACATGTACACGCCGCGGTTCTGGAAGAGAAAGCACTTTTTTCTACTTCTCATTAAACATTCAGTCATCAGTGTAGATGAGGAACTACTCTTTGTGCTCATATTCACCTGAGGAGGACTAAGTAAGAAGTGAAATGCACCCGTTCACAATCGCTGTGGGTATTCTATCAACCACTGTCGGAGGTGACCATGCCACGGCATGAGTTTAGCGCAGTGAATCGTTGGTTTCTGAAGCCAGGCTCATTAGCCAACGTGAGCCACACCGTAGAGCAACTCAAGGGGAGATGGGGGTAAAATGCAGCACCCAGGCCCTACAGTGAACGTGTAGGGGACGAGTGCACCCACCAAAGTACAGGCTACACCTCTAGCTGTGCAAATAACAGCACCAACTGAAAAACAGATGGAAAGAGATAAGAGAAAAATACGAGAACACCCAGAAAAGGCTTTTGTTCAAAAACATGAGAGGCAAATTTGGCCCTGCCTTTTCATGATGTTTAGATGGCACAAGACAGAGAGAGGATGAATGTGGCAAGACTATAGAATCATATGTACCAGATACTTACCTGAGACTCATAAAGTTTCTCTTTTCTGTTTGCTACTTCATTTCGAATGATAGTCCCAATATATTCAATGACCATGGTGTGCTTCTCAATGTCTCTAGCAGCATATAGGCCCAGTCCCTGCCAAAAAGAAAAAAAAAAAAAAAGTGTGTGTATGTATATATGTATGTGTGTGTGTATCCTCTTGTACAGTACTTCAATTTATCTGAGAACAAATCTGCATTCTCTCCTTCATACAAAGCTATTACCTTGGGTGACACCTTGGGTCTTATTAAAGCCATACTTAAGGTTTCATAGGAACTCAAGTGATCTTTTTTATTGAATATACTATCCTCTGACAGTTAAGAATGAGACAATCTTACCACTTATAACTATGTCATCACTATCTTTTTTTCAATGTCTTTTTTTACAGTCTCTTATGGACACCTATCAGACTATGACTATGACATGCATGAACATGCGGCAAAGTAATAATGTGACTGGTCGTCCACATTTTTATCAGGCCATCGCATCTTCTAGGTAATCCCATGCTGAGCTCCCATCAGCTAAACAGGCTAATGGCCTCTTACAATTACTTCATCCCACTACTATTAGAAAAAAACTTGACATGAGAATAAATTTAATAAAATAGAAACAGGGCTACCCAGAAGGGATTATTAAAATACTATAAACAGGTTTCACATTTGGCTATGAGCTGGAAGCCAGGGCAAAAAAACAGAAACAGGATAAGTTATTTTGCTCTAGTTATCTGCAAAGCTGGAAACAAAGTTCTTGGGGAAGGTAAATTTTTTTCCTAATACACAATTCTAAGGCTGCCAAGGACATGGATAGGGACTTGAATGGGCTGTCCCTCTTATTTGGCAACATGTACTGTCTAGCTTATACCCTGGTAAATCATGTGCTACAGGCACTGTTTTAAATTTTTAGTAATACAAATTATGGAAAAGTAACATACTGAAAAAAATAAGGACAGTTTCCATGAGAGAGTATTTGTATTTTCTTATCCCAGTTTGTTTCTGCATTCTCAACTGAAACTGACCCGAAGGCAATGGTGGAGAAGTCAGGATGAACACACCATGTGCTACCTGGGGGATTATCCCAAATGCACTCCTCATCAAGCACCAGCTTAGATGATACAGTAGGGACGGCCAATGCGAGAGACTTTAGGACATGACCTGAATTACCTTCCCAAAATACTACTTATGCAGTTGGTCTGTTCAGTCCCAGATATGACTCTGCGGTGAACAAACAACTGACACTACACATTCTGGTATTTGAGCATCTTCTGATAGATATAAACGTAACGCTTTATTCTTGCACAGAGCTTTTCTCAGCAGGACTATGCCTGGAAAGGTGGCAAAGGCACGGGAGGGTTAAATGCTTCCAGTATGGCTCTGAACCACACTGGCTGTGCCTTGTGAGTGCAGGAGAAACAAACTGGCCCTGCTCTGGAAGGACAGTAACTCAGGGTCTGTGTGACATCACTCAGTCTCGCAAGTGATAATCTCCCCTGTAGGAATACAGTATTTCTCACAGTGTTTGTAGCACTTGGTTACTGTTTTCTTTTTCAAGCTCTTTGAAAGAGAATTACAGCTTAATGAAAACTGCCTGGCAGCAACCCAGACCCTACTCTCTTTCCATCTACTCTAAACTCCTGCTGTACATGGCTTTTGAAATAGAAAGGACATATCAAGGGGAATTAACAAGAGAAAAAAGATGCAAGAACAGCAACCTGATCAAAATAGCAAAATCAAGGAAACGGAAAAGGGAGAAAGAACATGAGCACACCACGCTCATCAAGGGGAGTTGGGAGGAAATGGAGCTGCCAGTCCTTGCAGCAGGCGAGCGTGGGACAGTGTGCCCACCAAAGGACAGGCTGGAAGGCTGAAAACAAGGCCCATCCACACGTGGTTCACACTTAAAACAGAGAAAAAACCCACTGAAAATAAAAATGGATAAATGTAAAGCCAGCATTTATTTATTTAATGGAGAAAGACTTAAGGTTTTCTGCTAAAATCACAAACATAAGTTACTCCACTATTTATCACTGTGCTGGAGGTAGCAGCCAATGAAAATAGACAACAGAAAGAAATGAGAGGCATAGGAATTGGAGAAAAGGTGGTAAAACCATCTCTAATTGCGGATGACAACTCTGTATCTAAACAAGTATCCCAGAAATAAAATCAATGGAAAATTAAAATTAATAAAGTAGCAAGAGACAAAATATTCATACAAGAATCAACAGCCTTCCTACAAACAATTGCCATTTAGAAAAATGGTGCAAGAGTCCATAGCAAGGAATAAAACACCTAGACATAAACTTAACAACGTGGAAAATCTATGTAAGGAAAACTAGAAAATACTCCCAGGAGATACAAAAGTACGTTTGAACATATAGAAGAATATGCTATGATTTTGGATGAGGTTTGATTCAACATCACCATTCTAAGTTTATTTAAAAATGTAACATAATTACAATAATCTTACCTCCAGGATTTTTGGAGCCAGATAAACTGATTATAAAGTTTACACGAAACACTAATTAAGCAAGAATAGCAAGGCTTAGCGCTTTTAGAAATTGGATCAATTTGTTGTACTGTACACTGGGAAAATTTCAAATGGATTGGAGGACGAAAAGTGAAAATAAAAAAAAAAATCCAAGTAATTAAAAAAAAAAAAAAAAAAAAAAAGCAAGGTTGAGTTTCTTTATAAACTGGGAATGGGGAAATTTTTTTAACTGTGACTCAAAATCCAGAAGCAACAAGATAAAAAAAACTGGCAAATCTAATTAAAACAAAATTAAAAGGCAAAACTAAAAAAACGTTTATCTGATACTTCCGGGCAACATGGCGCTATAGTCAGAAGTACCACACCGACCCTCCACAGCAAAGATCAGAAAAACTAAGTTAAACAGAGTCACACGTTAATCCTGAAACCCTAAGCATCAAATGAAGAGATAAAGAACTCAGCGAAGCACCGAATCGAATAAGAAACTGACCAAGAACAGAGAGCAAGGAGAGATACGTGCAGAGGTCCCCTATCAGCTACTGCAGCATGGATCCGCCATCTTGGACTATTATCAGAGATCAGTGAACAGAGGGTCTGAGAAAGCAGCTTCACGGAGCTTCCAGCAGGAGACAGAACAACCAGTAACCAGTGATATAGGCTTTCCTACCCCCTACCCTTCTTCTCCCCCACTTAGCCTTCACTGCTTCCTGGAGCCACAGTCTCTTGGCTGGGAAGCACCAGCTTCACCCCGGTGTCGCTTGGACTCTACCCACCCGCACTGGCCAGCTCCCTGACTACCTTTTGTTGGCTTTTGATGTTACTTTTTTCTGCTTTTTTAGATTTCTTCCTTACCTCTCACCACCTCCCCGTCCTTTCTCTCAAATACCTGGCTCCGAGAGCCATCTTTGCTTCCTCCCGAAATGCTGCAAAACACCGCTCAACTGTGAAACTGCTTCCTGGCCCATGCCACCATGCTGGTGGGACCGCTGGGGCTTTTTTATTTGTTTGTTTGCTCTGATTTGTTCTGTTTTGATTTGGTTTGTTTGTTTTGTTTTTCTTTTCTTGGCTTGGGAGCCCCTTCTAGCTGGGCAGTACCACGCAGCTTGAAAGCTACTCCCTTACTCTATGCAGACGCACAGGGACATCCCTGGGGGAACTTCTTTTTTCTTGTTCCTAGTTTTTTTTTCTTTGTTTTCTTCTCTCTCTTATTCCCTTTTTTCTATCATTTCTAGTTTCTTGATTTATTCATTTTTTTCTTTCAACTTTTTTCTTTTTTTCATTTTTTATTTTTTTCCCATTTCTCAGTTTCTCATCTCTCCACTCCGATAGCAAGCTACCTTAGTACTCTTGTTTGTGTGTATGTTTTTGGCTCCTGTTCCTCTCTCCTCTCTCTCATCTTTCCCATACCCACCTTAAATCCACACATCACAATCTATCCCTTCCTTCCTGCCTACCTGCACCATGTGCTAAACATCATACTCACAAGCAGCACAGGCACGGCCTACCGGAACCTGCTCTGCACTGACTCCCGGTCTGCACTGTCAGTCCTGGTACATGCCACAAACAACCCATTCCAGCAACTCCCCTTCAGCTGGACCTGCCCTGCTGTATCATACCTGAGTGACTGACCCTGCCCACTGGAGAAAGAAGTGAAGAGTATCGTGCCCACAGATGAGCAAACAACAAAGAAACTCACAACCTGCCCGCTCAGAGATAACCATATAAGAAAAAGCAGGATAAAACAAACAAGTCTACAATCAATAAATGAGAAAAATAACCACTGAATACCCTGAAGACAGCAGACAATATCAAAACATTTCATAAAAACAGGACAAGATGGATCCAGCAGGTGTCCAAAATAAAATACCAGATGACGTTCCAGTAGAAGAAAAGGCACTAGACCTAACTGAGAGGGAATTCAAATCTCTAATATTCAGAATTATCCAAGAGTTGAAGCAAAAAGCAGACAAAAATGAGGAAAAAATAGAACAATTCATGGAAAAGGCAGACAAATCCATGAAAAATACAGACAAAACAATGGAAGAATTCAAGAAAATAATAAAATGCTAAAATAAATTCACAACTAGAAATCATACAAAAACAACAATTAGAAATCCAAAAGATAAACAACAAGATTTCAAAAATGAACAGTGTCACAGAAGGGCTGAGGAGCAGGTTTGAATCGATGGAAGACAGGAATAGCAAAATTGAAGACAAACACTTGGATACAACTCTGAGGAAAAATCAGAAAAAAAGAACAAAGAAAAATGAAGAAACCCTGAGAATTACGAGGGATACAATCAAAAGCAAAAATCTGCGAGTGATTGGAGTTCCAAAACAGGGGGAGAAAACAGAAAACACAGAGGATCATTGAAGAATTGCTGACAGAAAACTTCCCCAATATCATGAAAGATAAAGGCTGATCATCCAAGAAGCTCAACGAACTCAATATAGGATAGAACCCAAAAGAAAATCACCGAGGCATATCATAATCACACTCGTTAAAACCAAAGACAAAGAATCCTGAGAGCAGCTCAAGAAAAACAAAAAGTCACA